AGGAGCACCATTAAAACCTTCTGCCCTCAGCTTCTTCATCGCCAGGAGCACCACCAGTACCTTCTATCTTCAGCTCCTTCGTCGCCAGGAGCACCATGGGTACCTTCCGCCCTCAGCACCTTCAACGCCAGGAGCACCTTCAAAGTGTAGGTCCAACTTGTCAAATTTTGCAAAGTTGTAAGAAAACTTAATTTTTCTGAACCACCATAAATGATTTGCAACTCTTAATTTATATCAAAAGAAAGGTAAACCGATTACCTTTCTTTTGATTATAACACCGTTAAAATCGCTTTACGTTTTCATAAAAACTTTGCAACTTTTGTAAACAGCTATATATAAGCAGTGAAAAAGTGGTACAATTTTGCAAAGTTGTAACGAAACTGAATGTTTGTGCACCATTACAAATGATTTGCAACTGTTAATATATATTAAAAGAAAGGTAAATCGATTACTTTTCTTTTGATTATAATATTGTTAAAATCGGTTAGCTAGTTTATAGAAATTTTGCAACTTTTGAAAACATTATATGTAAGAAGTGAAAAAGTCACATTTTGCAAAGTTCTAACAAAACTGAATTTTTATGAACCAGTACAAATGATTTTCAACTGTCAATATATATTAAAAGAAAGGTAAATCGATTTCCTTTCTTTTGATTATAATACTGTTAAAATCGCTTAACTTTTTTATAGAAAATCTGCAACTTTTGAAAACTGCTATATACAAAGGAGTAGTAGTAATAATAAGCAATTAAGCAGCCACATATATCTGTAAAAATATCTTTATTATTAATGTTAATTGTAATTTTTATTCATAATATTGATTACTAACTATGTATATTAGGTTAACAATGCATTTTGAAAAATAAATTTTGCAAAATAAAAATCAAAAAAAATTTTAAGTTTTTTATTTAAAGTTTTTAAGGTTATTTTGAATTCGCTGTGAAGAGAATGCAACCCTGCGCCAGCTGAAGTGGGCAATGCTAGACGAGTGCAGCTATATGTTTTCCTTAGGAAGTATCTGAATGAGTGCGACAGTGATGCAAGGCTCACACGTACAGGGGGAAACTGGTGAAAATCTGCACACCGCCCATACAAAGTTCACCAGATTTTTCACCAGTTTTGAAGTGAACGAAACCCGCGGTTTCACCAGATTTTTCACCACTTTTGGCTGGCAGGGCAGTCTCCAATACATTTAAATATTTCACCAATACACTCAAAGCCACATGCCAAAATTTACACACGTACAGGAAAGATATGTTACACATAACATATGTATAACACGATATCCTGTTAGATTTTTCATGTCGCCCTTAGGAAATTAACGTAAACATTTTATGGGAGTATAACATGCATTTACGTTACAACTCTGCGTTACATGATTCGTTATATAACGCGTAGTGTTCTTGTAGGGCAAGAGCCAAATCACGAACAAATCAGTGTCGGTTCTAATTTTATCGATAATAATCGAAAAAAGTTTTGTCTCATAACTGATATGTCATTGTGTTTGGACGTTTTGTTTTTAATAATCGCGCGTGGTAGTTTGTAAAATATTTCCAGAAGCTTTCTCTTCTGATCAGTCATCTAAAATCTAAAAAATTACCACAAACAACTCAGAATATAAAAATATACGCAATTACTCACATTCGCGATCTCTTTTGGTTAAATAAACAATAACACAGGGTTGCTACAAAGCTGTCAAGACAAATAAAGAATCGCGTGTATGAACGCACTTAATTTAGTGAGGTATTTTAAACGAAACTAAGTATTTTATGTTGGTAATGTGAACATAGTTTAAATAAACAATAACATAGGGTTGCTACAAAGCTGTCAAGACAAATAAAGAATCGCGTGTATGAACGCACTTAATTTAGTGAACATAGTTTAATTCAGTGGCAATGCGCAGAGCGTTCGGGGCAGCAATTTAATTTGTATCAAATATAACATTAAACGGTTGTTCTAATACATTTTTTGATATTATTAACCAGACTACATACATTATATGGTATTTCTTTTAAAAATCAATGTACTATATGAACTTTTTTTCAAATATTTCTTAAGTTTCATTCATGAGTGCTGAAAAGCAACCATGCGTGTAAGAAATTGTGTGCTACCTAAAATTTCACCTCTGGAAACTTTATCCCCATAAACGACTTCACCACAGTTTTTTTTACTGTATATACTGAGGCTTCGAGCCTGATGGTACAATCATTTGATGGTGCAACAAGCTGGTGTCGTGAATTTGCCCTTTTATATATATACCTACATATATTTATGTAAGTAAAAAGTTTTAGCTGCTATTTTTAGCAACAACGAATTTTTTTAGCTCTCTTTAGCCGTTTTTTAAAAGGAATTTGGCTACCACTAAGGCTATCTCCACACTTGTCGTCCAATCATAGTTGCGTTATCGTCTCGCCCTGAAATTTTGAGCCGAGCACATGCATTTCAAAGGAGATCTGCACACCTGTCGTTATCTGCTAGTTATCGGCAAATCGTAGAAGATGCAGAAACGGATAAGTACGGCACTGTCGTTTGCTAATCGTTGTGCACGCATTGTTTGTTTACATTTTATGGGGAAAAATTAGTGAAAAGGTGAATATTTGCATAAAAATTAGTATTTTTTGCATAAAATCTGTGGAAATGATTAAAAAGTGGATCATTGCATTAAGATTCAATAAATGTGAGCGTTTTAACTTTCAAATATCACGAAATTGTAAAAAGTCTCTGTGTGCATGCACAAAACTTTTTTCAGGTAAAGACAAGAAGATATATTATTGAAAAATGATGTCTAGAATTGTTGCAGCACAGTCTATATTTTAAAAATGCAAGTTTTCGTAAATATTGCGCGAAAATATCAACCAGAAAAACAGGAAATACCTGCTTCAAGTGAATTCTTAGACGCCAAATGAATTGAAAGATCTCGAACGAGTGTGCGAAAGTGTAGTCGTCATGTAATCGTTTCATCATGATTGTGACGATGAAGTAACTATGACTGGACGACCAAGGTGCAGAAAGCCTAAAGGCCCGTTTACATACAACTTTGGCGTTGCGTTGGCGTTGGCGTTGGTTTGACAGAACGCACGTTAAAAGTATGCTTGCTACAATGAACGCTTGGCGGCGAATCCTTGGGCCACTAAATTAACATATTAACGACAGATAAATTAATATTTCATATCAATAATTGCATTAAAAACGATATTTCTTGCCCGCACTTGATTAAAAAGGAAAAATATTTCACATAATTTTATTTATTCGCAACAGCTGACGAGCGACGCACGCGAAAAGTTGAGAGTTGGCCATCTTTTTGCTTTGTGTTGGCGTGAGCGTTGTCGAATTTTGGCTATGTGGACGGCTGCATTTGAATTCATGTATTCATAGTCAGCTGTTGAAGCGACGCCAACGCCAACGCAACGCCAAAGTTCTATGTAAACGGGCCTTAAAGGGAAGCGCGTCAACACTGGTCGGTGTAAATCCTGTGTAAAGTTATGGAATGATGAAGAATTTATCGAGTAATTTCACCGAGTATTATTTTCAACCCATTCTAATCGTTGTTTAATTGGCTCATATAGTCGCTGTACAACGAGGCTATCTACATTTGGTAGGAAAATATAGTTTAGTTTTCCATATATTTTGGAAACAAGTGGTAATCTCTAGCCTTTTCAGTATATAGTGGTAATGTACTTGATAGTGATTTATTGGGTTGTTTTCGAAACTCTGTAGTAATGGTTTTGTGAGCGAGTATTAAAATCTAGAAAATTTTCACTCGTTGCAATTATACTTGCCACAAATTTTGCGAGTGACGTACCAATACGAAACAAGAACCCCCAGAGAAAATTAATCTACCTATTTAATAAAAAGAGTATATTTGTAGTACGAGGTTGTGTTTATAATATTTCATCATATTGTGTGTTTTGAAGACCTCGGAGGGTTTAATTTAAAAACTGCATTTTGACACGAGGAGCTGGCTACAACAACAACAACAACGAGGAGCTGGAAAAGCCTATATAAATACAATTGTAATAAAAGATCAGGAATATTTGGGGTTTCATAATTATCGCGGAAAGGCAAGTTTTAGATATGCTTATAAAGAACCAGGAGTCCCTTAAAAGTTGGTTGGTGGTAGTACTGGAGCCTCTGTAAGTACTTATAAAAATGCGTTAAACTTTAGTATAATAACTCCTTTTATTTTGCAGATGTGATGCAGACTCATCTGCGCTAGCTCGTTACGTGTTAGCGCTGTTGAAGAAGGACAAACCCGAAAAGGAATTAAAAAAATTGATGATAGAACAATTGGATGTGTTCTTAGCTGAAGAGACAAAACCGTTTGTTGAACGGTTATTCGAAGCTATAAGCACGGATGATTATTTTAGCAACGTTATACTTCCTGCCACACAAATAAATGAAGATTCTTTTACTGCAAAAGCCGGAGTTCCGGAAAACAATGACGACACGAAGGAAGATTTGGATCAAGAAATAGAAAATCATGCAAATACCCAAGATAAACTGCCGGATACCGTTTGTGATGAAAAGGATCACACACCAACAAAGGATGATGTAGGTTTAATAAATCTTTACTCTGATAATATAGTCATAAAAATTTCCTTTTCAAAAATTGTAGAATAATACCAAAGAATTGCTAAACAACAGTAGTTTCGAAAACAATAAATCGGATACGGCAGACCGCATTGAGCCTTATACTGCCACAGTTAAGTTAGAGACTAATGTCGGTTCGATAACGCATCATACATACACCGGCGGTAACAGTCACCATGTACGTAGTGCAAGTCCTCCATTAAAGGCCAATGCTGATAAGGAGAATCAACCACGTGAGAGTCGAAGACGACGCGCTTCACTTAGATCACGTTCGCGGTCACGCTCACGATCACGATCTAATGATAGGATATCTCGTCGTTCCCGCTCTCGTGACCGCCGAATAAACGAACGGGAAAAAATGCAACGCCAATTTCGTAATAAATCTCCGCCCATGACTGATTTAAGGCATGTGGGTTACCATGACAGGCGTCGGGGCGGTGGTGGAGGTGGTAGTGACCGCAGGCGAATTGGAAATGCTAGTAATACGACTAACTCAGGCGAACGATCACCTCGATTTGTCGGCAGCGCTGGAGAAGAAGGCGGCCGTAAAAATCGGCAAAATCGCTCGAATTCAAGAAGTCGATCGCCATCTGCAGAACGTGGAGGTAGAAGTAAAGTATCTCCAAATATTTCGCGAAATGTTCGCGGCTCTCCAGATCGTCACAATCACCACGCGCATGGACAACTTGATTCGGAAAAGAGACAAAGATGTCGTGATTTTGATGAAAAGGGATATTGTGTTAGGGGAGAGACATGCCCTTGGGACCATGGGATTAATCCCGTGGTATTTGAAGACATAAATAATTCTGCGTTAATAGGTATGTCACTTCCAGAATACAATCCAGATGTACCCGATTTGTGGGTGAGATCCACGACTGGAGCAGTGGTCGGAGTTTCTCCAAATACGCTAATGACAAGTGGATCAGTTATAGGTGGTGTTGGTGCCACTGGGATAAATCCCTTCACCGGTGTTGCGAGGGGGGCAGGAATATTACCCGTAGCAGGAGTTTCTGATTCTGTAACCTTTCCTCAAGTTGGCTCTGGGGCGGATAAACAAACCAACAACAGCCCTGTAGCCGCAGAATATACCCGCAATTCTAACACAGGCGCAGGTTTCAGAGTAGGTACTCCCATGCTACCTTTTCCTTTCAACACATCGGCAGTAACAGCTCCTCTTCAACGAGAATTAATTCCAATCCCTGTAGTTGATGCAAGCAATACCAATTCAGGTGCTGATATAAGTCAAATACAGCCAAGAAAACGACGATTTGAATTGGAAGATTCAGTAGCAATAGCCGAAAGTCCAACAAAACGTAAAATGCCACTTAACAATCGTCTTGGACCACGTTTACCAAGTATTCAAAATAACTGTTCTCTGGAACTGCGAAAGATCCCACGCGGTCTAAATACAATCGCACATCTCAATAATCATTTCGCCAAATTTGGGAAAATTGTAAATATACAAATATCCTATGATGGTGATCCAGAAGCGGCTATTGTGACGTTTTCTGCACACGCAGAAGCAAACGTTGCATATCGCAGTACAGAGGCTGTGCTTAATAACCGCTTTATAAAAGTGTTTTGGCACAGTCAAGAAGTAGGCTCATTAATAAATGACGTTGCTCCAATGCCTGTAGGAAATGCCCGAAAAAATAGTCATTATCATTTAAATAATGTACCTGCGGTACCAATCCCTACCGCTGACTCAGCAAAAACTGCGAATGATAATGTTTCAAATCAGAGCACAGGGGCATCGGGTAATACAGTGACCACTTCATCCACGAATGATACTTCAAACGTAACAAGCGTGACCACTCCCATTGCAGCTGCCCATGTTCCGCCAACATCTTTACGCTTAAAAAATAATGTGCCACGCGGCCCCTCTTTAGGCGCTTCAAATGCCATTATCCGTAGAAAGCAGGAAGAGCAAGCTAAAGCTGTTGTTCAACTTGCCAACGGCCTTCGTAAAAGAAAACAGGAACTTTTGCAGAGTTACGTAAAGCAAATGAAATCGGCGTTGGAAATTGTGGAACGTTGTGAACAAAATGATGCCCAACGTACAAAAACACTTGAGACTATCAAAGTTTTACAAGAAACCATCGATAAATTACGTAAAGAGATTGCCGCAGAACAAGAACAAATCCACGCACAAATGCAAAATCAACATCTGGCTCCACTAAAAAAGACTAAAGAGCAACAAAAAAAAGAGTTGCTTGACATAGAACTCGAGTTGATTGCTCAACAGCAAGAGGGCAATGATACAACAGCCATACAAAAACGTCTGGAAGAGCTTCAGCGCAGTTTAGGAATAGTTCCTGGAAGTGGTGCCGCTGGTGTTATTCCCTCTCACACGCCTCCAACCAGTGACAAAGTGACGCATTTTCCTCCCAGCCGAGCAAATCCCCGAACTCGCTCCTCATTTCCTGAAGGATCCACGCGCGTTGATCGCCGACCGAAAGCAATTGTTGTTACGGGATTTACGAGTGAAGAGGCCGATTTTGTGCTTGGTCACTTTAAGGTAAGCCAACAAATTATATATACATATCGTCCCGTTTCTGCCTTAACCTCGTATCTGCAATAGAGGTATTTTAGAGAGTGTAAGAAAAAATGCTTAATATCTTCCCTTAGGATACAATTAACGCATTTTTTACTTAATATTTCTGGTTCCACTAACAGTAGTGAGCACCCTCACTAACTGTAAACGTCCCTGTGAGAAAACGATTCTAGTAGCGTTGGACCTGTCAAAGGCTTTTGACACTGTCAGCCATTCCTCTCTCCCACAGAGGCTCAAACGGTGGTCGGCAATTTATCTGAGTGGTCGACACTCGTCGGTAATGTTTATAGACAAATCGAGCAAACTTAGAAAAATAAAACAGGGGATTCCACAGGGTGGTGTCCTTTCTCCACTACTGTTTAACTTTTACATTTCAAAGCTCCCTCAACCACCAGAGGGAGTTTCGATTGGCTCTTACGCCGACGATTGCTCGATCATGGCGACTGGGAATGGAATTGATGACTTGTGTTCGAAAGTAAACGGATATCTCTCTGACCTTTCTCGCTTCTTCACTGCAAAGTGTCTAGCCCTCTCCCCTACGAAATCCTCTGCGACCCTGTTCACGACCTGGACGAAGGAGGTCAGGCTACCGCTAGGAATTCACGTCGATGACACACCAATTCCGACGGTGAATAATCCTAAAATACTCGGAGTAACATTCGACAGCCTGCTCTCCTTCTCTGCGCACACAACCGCTATTGTCAATAAAGTACAGAGCCGCAACAAGGTCCTCAAGTCGCTAGCCGGCAGTACTTTTTGCTTTTATGCGATTTGATACTTTTATAGTAAATGAGCGATGCACATATATGTACATATGTATGTGTTAAATATATGTATTTATATGTTTTTATTGAAGACCGATAAGTTACAAATTTTGTTTCACTTCTCGTAATTTCCTACTGGGTTGCTCATGCAGAGCAGCTCTCTTGTTCTCACCAACACAGTCACAGTTTAACTTTTGCCGACCACTGAACTAAATAGAGGCCATTCTTCTGGCTGGCCGGAAAACGTAGGCAACTCCTTAGGCACAGATTGGCGTGCACATATTAGCGTGGTAGACAAATTGTTGTTGAAAAATATGCCGAATTGTGGGTTGACGACAACATGGAATTTGTTGGAGGTGCGCATATCGGCACGGAATTTACAATGGTCGATGTTAAGCCAGGTTGTGTACCTTGTGTAGGCGACGGCAGAAACCGCATATGCTGCGTCAAAGCAGCGGGTTGCGCAGCAGGCGTAGCTGTATCGCGCACATTAACGCAGAGTTCGGGTGTTGCGCGGTTTTAGCGAACTGAGCAGCAGTAGCCGACATCGTGGGAGTTGGCGCGCACATTAGCGCGGAATTCAGGTGCTGCACTGTAGCAGCGGGCTGATCAGAAATAGCCGACGTCGTGGGTGTTGGCGCGCACATTAGCGCAGAATTTAGCTGCTGCAATGTAGCAGCGCGCTGAGCAGCAACTGTAATTGCATTCGTTGATATCGCGGGCGCGCAAGCTAGCGCAGAATTTGGGACTGCACTGTAGCAGTAATCTGACCAGCAAATAGTGACTTATTCTGCCTTTCGTTATGCTTGAATTACTCAATAATGGGACCTTTCGGGAGCGATGCTGAAGTTCCGTTTATCAAATGTGGTGCTGAACTGCCTGTTAAGGCATCGAAATAAATAGATTTTGCTGAAATAGAGTCTTCTAGATTTTCTTTATGCTGTGGGACATTGTTAAGGTTATGTGCTTCAAGAATCTTATATTTTTTTATCAAGGAGTTCCTGATCACGCGCCATGGCCATTTGCCTCTCTTCCTCCAATCGTTGAATTTCGAGTTCAGCTGAGCGCTTTTTTGAGGTAGAGGTACGGCTTGAAATACTTCGCGCCGATGACGTCGAAGCCGATTCTATACAATTCAGACATTTCCATGCTTGTAGGGAGGAGTCAGAAACTTTATAGGCGCAGGACTCGTGAAACGCCTTGTGACATTTAACGCAGGATACGTATGCCTCGCTATTGTCATTTTCGCCATGTGAACACTGCGGGGGTTGTGGTTGACCTTTTAAAGCATAGGAATTCATATTGTACTTACTTTGAGGTTAGCAATGGACACGTGTAGACCTGCAGTACAATTGTATTTCGTTTTCACCAGCAACGTCGTTGACAGCAACCGTGGCCGCAAATTCTTAAAGAATTTAAAAATGTTGAGACAGTTTCTCAACGGAATAAAGCGCCCTGATTTTCTTAGAAATTTGAACGAAAACTGCGCCAGCTGGATGTGAATTCAGGTTTTATTTTGCATAGTTTCTATATATATATGTAATTATACATGTATGTATGTTAAAATTCCTGTTATGGATACAAACATAAATTAGATCAATTTGCGAAATATGATATCGTTAAATTATACATACTTTAAGGTATAAAAACCAGGACGTATGACGAGATCTTGAGTAATTGCTTTCGAGCTATTTCATGCACGAACTAATTAAAGTACAATTGGCGCAATTCTAGAACTCCTCTTACGGCTCGTGACAGAAGTCATTTAAATTTATCGATAAAAATGAAAGTAGTAGATTATTCTAGTATAATATAAAATATTTTAGACAGTGGCGGCAACATTTAATATTTTACAGTTTATTTTATCCTCTCATTTGGCTTTGTTTACTTTTACTTGAGAAATTTCATCGCCGCCGGGAATGCGGAATCCTGTATTAAATCATTCTTGTTACCATATAGTGTTTAGTGTTGGAAAATTGTTGCTCTTAAAATCAAGAAAATTATGTCGAGCAAAAATAAAACTAGGTACTCAAAAACGCGAATATGTGATAGATTTCAGACCTTGTGTGGTAGATGCTCAAAAAAAGTGGCAGATCTTCCACAATGTGGTAGAAGTCCGATCACTGCTGGTGTTCCAGCCGACACTTGCCAGGAAGGTTTTTTGGAGATGGTAGAGGAGGCAGATACGCAAGAAAGAAAGAGAGTTAAAGAGCAACACCTTGCGTACAGGTGAATATAATTTTTTTTTTAATATTTACAAGATAACTTTTGAATTGCAACTTACAGAGGGGGGACCTTTACCAAAAGGCAATAACGACCCTCTTATCGATAAAGTAAGAGGTTTGATGGTGATAGCAGTCTGATCACAACTCAGGAGGGCATAGTATCTATTGAATCATCGCTAAACCATACAGGTAACCTTACTGACTGACTTCGATGTTTTGGATCTTATTTGTGTTCATTTATGTACATGCATATTTATATCTGGGAATTTAATTTTTCAGATGAAGTTCCAGAAAAAGAAGCAACCGAAAAGACTAACCATGTCGTAGCCGCTACAACAACAACAAACCATGATGAATCGGACTACTTCACAAACGACAGAGCCAATTTAAAAAAGACTCCTCATCCTCTCTTGACCCGTGAGTATCAAATGTCAAGTTGTGTGTCGGTAATGATTTCTGCTCTAATTTTTAGGATAGAGAAAACTTCCGTCAACAGGAAAAGAAACCGTTTCCGAAAAGTTCTGAAAAGTTGGGATTAGTATCGGCTCAAAAGGAACTATTAAAGGTACAGTTAACAGAAGAGGAGGAAAAACTAGAACATAACCGTTTGTTAAGGAAGATGGCGACGGAAGAAGAAAAAAGGCAGTATGAGGAGAATGAAGAAAAATTAAGGCATGACCGGTATTTAAGAAAACTCGAAGCTGAAGACGCGCATAACGAAATAATTAGAAAACTTCATCTGGAAAAGTACAAAAAATGAGCAGAATTTTACTTATAACTTTCCTACCATTAACTTAAAAGAATTTTATTTAATTATTAGGAAATGCATACACTTGTGGTCAGCTGATTAAGTTAAATGACATTTTGATCAGTTTTGGCTATCTTTCTCTTGTCTATTTAATGTTTATTGTTTTTTTTCATAAAAGCTTAGCACATTACATAACCAGCACTACATAAATCCACATTTCAAACATCGTATACAAATTTAACAAACTTTAACAATTACACCCAAAAATTTTAAACTTTTTATTAAATAGACAAAAGAAAAATACCCGAAACTGGTCAAAATGTCACTTAACTTAATCAGCTGACCACAAGTGTATGTATAATCGTACGCATACTTAGTTGTAAGATATGTAAATATGTACATATTTACAAACACCGTTCAAATGCTTTATTATAAACTATAATTTAAGAATATACAATATATGTACTATTAAATAATTTTAAATAAATAATATTAAATAATAAATTTTTATGATATACATAACAAATATTAAATAAACAAAAGGATAACTGTCAATACTGAGGATCAAAAGGTGGGCGTTATCAAGTGACTAGCCGTGGGTAACACAATGCGGCGCCCCACCATTGCGCAGATACCCTGAGCTGAGTTACTGGCGCCGATACCGATTTTCACAACTCAGTGACGCAATGGCGCCAGCAACACCAGAACTGTGACAACACCAGGCGGCGCAAAGAACCAGCGAAGAACACACAAAAGCGAAGTGTCACTTGTAAAATGTGCAGCATAAGGCGAATTTTTACAAGGTGGTGTTGCTAAAATTAGCCGCGGTCCTTCTGCATGTGAAAATTATGTGTTTGTTGTATTTTTGGGTTTTGAACTTGGGTATACTTGAGTTGTTTTTGCCCAACCGATACCACTTTGTATTAGTTCACCTTATTTCAACACCGGAACACTGACAACACCGGGTGTCGCAAAGAACCAGCAAAGAACACCCGAAATAGAAGTGTCTCTTGTAAAATGTGCAGCACAAGTCGAATTTATACAAGCTGGTGTTGCTAGAATTCGTCGCGGTCCTTCTGAATGTGAAAATGATGATGATGAATTTGGGTTTTGAACTTGGGTATACTTGAGTTTTTTCTCAACCGATATCACCTTGTATTAATTCATTTGGTGCAGCGTGCAGCAATAAAGGAAATGAGCTTTAGCCTGAAGAGGCGCAATTGCGCCAACACACTGTGCTAATTCCGCCAGTGGCGCTGGAGTTAGTGTGTCAGCGCCAAAAAATTTGCGCCGTTACCCAGGCCTACAAGTGACTGGCGGTATATATTCCGATAACACGATATTTTTTATTCCTATTAATTATTCACAAGAACGTAGTCTCCCAAAATGTTGCTCAATCAAGGCTTGACGAGGCCGGTTTCCTGATGAAAGTCTGTTAGAGAGATAACAGGATCTGGATCATTTTGCAATCGAGCTATATTGTGTAGAACGGAAGTGGCTATTATGATTCCAGGTATTCTGCTCAAATTTAATTGGATCCCCCTGGACAAAATTGAAAATCTTCTTTTCCAAATTCCAAAAGTCCATTCTTTAGTATTTCTGCTTCTGATCTGGGACTCGTTATATAGTGATTGAGCTGATGAGCTTACATTTCCCAGTGGTGTCATAATGTACATACGTAGTTTGAGCGGTTCCACTATCACCAAGCAAGCAATAATTTTTGTACGCTCCCTGCACAAAATGTCGGCGCTGATTGCAGTTGTCCCAAATATGCGAATCATGCAAAGATCCATGCCACCTTGCAACGACATCGTTGAACACGAGGTCTGCAGAACATATTGCTTGGGTATTAAAAGTAACCCTTTCTATTTCTGTATAACTCCGCATATTCTCCTCCCAAAAAGCAAATAAAATATGTATTTATGGATGTTTACTTATATGTAATTGGCTTTGATTGAAACTGTTAAACTTTTTAATTATCAAATGTGTATTATACCTGGTGACTTTATCCGCACCTGAGTGCAATCTATA